AGTAAACTACCCTTCCCTGGTTAGTGCTCTCTCAACTTAACCTCCATTTTTATGCTGGTCATTAGTACCCAGGCAAGAGCCACCCAGAGTACGTTTGCTTTCCTGTTCACTGCAGAGTTTTTTCTTCTAAAACCTTCAACAAATGACAATCTTAGTATTTGTCATTCTTCTTGATTTTCGTTCATCAGCGAAAAACTGGTACAAGTCAGTTTAATCAAAGCACTTCACTTCTTGTTACGATCTTTTCCCAATCCTTTGACTACGATCTTTTCCCAATCCTTTAACAAGTAGTGAGTACTAGCTATAACGCCGCAAAAGCGATCCATACATCGCCGGCCGCTATCCAACGACCTCTACCTGGCGTCTTTCGAATGCGAAACTTTGAGGACGTGAACACTCTGTTTTTCTGTGCGATGTTAATGCTTGTCCTGATTTGTCACAGTAAAACCACTTTTCCTTATAATTCGGTCTAAAGTCCCCTTTGCGCTCACAAAACTTTTTTCCTACCTTGTAAGCACAAATACATAGCGATGTTAGGACGTTTCTATAGCTTTCTGGCTCCGCATTCCTTGTCGTTGACATCAAAGTCGCCATTTTTAATTTGTTATTAGCGATACTAAAGGCACAGTTCACGATAATTTTGAGGTACCGCTTTTAATTCAAGAAACGGGAGTATAGATTGAGAATAGTTCATCGGTAGTGGAGAAAGCAAGAAAATTCGACAATCCCTAAGGAACTAAGGCTCCTCAAAAGTAGGGGAAGTAAAGGTTGGACGAGATCATCACGACGAAAATAACATGGGAGGGGTATTCGGACGAGAATTCGGTTTCGGCAATAGCACAGAGCTGACTACATATATCAAGCCACAACTGTACGCAACTATCTTCCACTGTCGCTATGGGTCATGACAAGTTCCTACATGGGTTCCCCTGTGATCGGTACAGGTTCTTCAAAGCAGGTGGAGCTCGTCTGCGTATACACAGGGGACAATCTTTGGGCCCCTATGGCGCCCTAACAAGGCCGTTGTCCGCCTGATAGTGCCGGATATGGTATACGAGGGGGCCCAGAATTCATCCTATGGGGAAATCCATGAGACCATTTACATCATGAACTGTGCCTTCAAAGTGAGTTATCCATATTCCATAAATCATCGAAGCGTTCAATAGCATTCACTGAACTCAAGCAGTTGATTTCCTTATCCCAACTAGATGGGTACGTTGAAGCAGCTTTGAGCATTCCATTATTATGCAGCCTACCACTTTACGCTGTGACAGATAAGGATAAAAAATAAAGCCTTTGGGCGTTTACCAATCCTGTCTGAGGGATGCACTCCCGCGTTCGACTTAAATTCAGTACTGTAGTCTCGTATTGAATGCGTGTGTGTCCTGAACAATGACTTGCGAGTACCTATGGTCAGCCATTTTCAAGTCAGTGCTTATCCTCCCATGTTGGTCTGATACTAATTAACAGACTCGGGAAGATGTAAGGCTTAGGTGGCCTGCACGTATTCGGCTATTCGGGACAAGAACCTTTGACATGCGTGTGTGATAGAGCGCCACTTGCCACTACACCATTTCCGCCGCGATGTAACAGTAGTGCTATACAAATTAGTCCAATTCAGGAAAGGCTACCATGTCATATATTGAAGAATTACGTCAAATCCATGAAATTCTTTGCTTTTAATCAGCAGATGAAAGTTCATATTTCCGCCAATTAGGAAGCACTTGTTGGAATTAAGATTCTTTTTTAATCATGGATCGGAATCTCGTGAACTATCTAATGCTTCGTAAACTCTCACAAACGACATCCACAAACATCTTCTCTGTATGGGAATAAATCACTTCAAACGCGCAGTTCACAATAATTCTGAGGTATCTATTGATATGAGCGAATCCATTGAAGTTGTGATACAGAATAGTGCGAATATGGTGAAGAAGGCTAGAAGATCGTTTCAAGGGAGATAGGGCTTCAAATTCCGGAAGCGGTGTAGTGGCAAGTGGCTCACTGTCACATACGCATGGTCATGAGTTCGAGTCCTGGATTGATATACGTCTGGATCAACCAGGCTTTCCATTCCTTCTGGGTCAGTTAATTGGTATCAGACTTGTCTGCAGGATAAATGCACTGACTCCTCCAACGACTGGCCACCGCAACTTGTTTTATAGGCCACTTCCGCATCCAATACCCCACTATGATTCTGAATAGAAGACGACCTCGGACAGGATTGATCGACGCTGCCTGTAGATTATGTGTCTGGGTGTCTCCCACACAGGTGCACTAGCTGCCGGTGTACTATAGCTTCATTGTGAAGGTGCAGCCTTAGCAATCGTCATAATACGGCCACTTTTCGGCGTAGGTCGGCCTAGCCCTTTTTAGACCCTTTAAACGCCTTGTCGAGTTCGTTTTTCGACTCTTCTATGTCGCACGTGGGGCCACAGGTTCATACTGAGAAAAAATCTCAGAAAGGATTTATATCATGAACTGTTTCATCATATCATTCGAAAGGCAGAAATCGCAACCAAGACCCAACTATTTCACAGAACCTATTTCGAATAGCAAGAATCTACAAATGGTTCGCGTTAAAAAATACATTTTGAAGTTTCGGGATTTTACACCATTCGTGGGTAAAAAGAAGAAACATTTCACATAAATGTTGACACAAGATAAAAACTGGCCAGATTAGCCTAAAATAGCGAATGTGATCATAACTAGAAGACACGAAGGATAGGCACGTCGTGACTGCTCCATGGCGTGATCGGTACAAAGATTATGAGGTGTTGGGATTTTCTAGAAGCTGCTGTCGCTACGGCAACGACCTGATCTGGCGAACATAATAACATCACGCGGAAGTGAATGTTCATTTAACATTATTTATCTTGTATCGCCCACTTCACGCATTGCTCTGCCCCTCTAGCTGCTTCTTACAGGCAAACACTCTTCAGGTGTTAGTGAATTGCGTGGGCGACTCGAAATATCCCCAATAACAAGCTTAGCGTCATCTTCGCTGACAGGCCAAGGAGCATGAAGAATGGTAACGTCAAAAGAAGCAAATCAATGTCCCCATGTGAAACAAAAGTCTGCAGAGAGTTCCGTCGGGATCCCAGAAAATTACGATTAGGGCAATGTTGGCTGTCTCCCGTGCGACCAGTGTCATAGTTAGGATCTATCTGCACTTTTGTACTCAGTGGAGAATGTCTCCACTGATCCTAGCGCTCTTGATTTCCGTCGATTAGATAGGTGTTTATCCACCATCAAAGATTATAATCTAGACTAATATGTTGCCACCCTTGTTTAAATGTTTGGTCGGGATTGAAGCCAACTAGTTTCAGCTGCTCATAAGAGGTATCAAAAAAGGTGTGTCCCGGATGTTCCTTAGGTCGTTTTCCGAGCATTTCAAACCTGAGGTCGATTTCACAGATCCGCATTGCACTGAGTTCGGTCGCCTGATAACCTGGGACCTTAAAGGTAGCAGTAAAAACAACAGAAAAACAACTCGGGATTCCGATTGAAGAATAATCAGATCAGAGCTTGCAAAGATTAGGCATGAGTGTAAAGTCTTCAGCTTTAGTTTATCGCATCTTAGGATACGTCAACACATTCGACTCATTCCGAATTAAAGTGACGTTACTTGCCGTTGCCAACCAATAATTGAGTCAATTCTTTTATCCGACGAGACGTATACCAACTAGACGACCTCGAACCAATGCGAATCTCGGTTCGCCTAGACAGATATCGATACTGGGTCAGATACCTGAACTGTGCGTGTGAGAGTGGGCCACTTGCCACTACACTACCTCCGTCCAGGAAGCTTCAGTAGATCCGAGGAATTCGTGGCTCCTGTAGAACATTCAACACTGTCGGCATCGGCGTCCAAGTGTCGCTAATTGTTTCACTGAGTGTGTTCGGGCGCGGAACATTCTCTATTCGCAGCACAAACGCTGTACGTAATATCTGGGAAAACATTTTGTCTTCCCAAATCCCATGATTCATATTAGAGCGCACCAAATGTGCTCGACACAAATTGCTCATAGGATTTTTTCTCGAATACTTTCACCATTATAATAATGAGCATTCTATAAAATTGAGATCCATCCATAGTAAACACTTTTTTAGTCTCACAAATATTCATCAAGAATTGAGAATTGATGTGATTGACGACATCAATGATCACCGCTGTTCCAAAAATATGTGCAGATAAGCTGTACCCCAGAGTACAATCCGCTAGAGACTCTGAGTTTCACTATTACGTTGTCATGAGGTGATTAACTTCGCCTTCCCATTAGCGAAGAGAGCTCAAAGCAGATTTTTACTTTTTTGTACCGAATAAAAGCAGAACTGCAATTCTACTATGTATAACGCACTAATCTGTCTGTTTAAAAAGAGCTAAGAGACCCGAAGTCATCAGTAGCCTATTGTTCCTTTTTAGTTCTGTCACTTCCGTCACCCACCAACAGCGTTTCCACACTGCGACCGGTGTCCTTGTCAAAGTTTAATTAAGATGCGATGACACAGGAGATACTGTGTTCCGCTCAAATACACTTCGAAACTTTGATACCCAAATGCATCTTCTCAAACATCGACACACACAAACACAAGCATGGACAAATACAAAAACACATACCACACATGTACGTATACAAAAAATGCCAATGCCTCAACAACAATTTCAGGCGAATTATATGGCAACATATGCTTACATATATACATTTACATAACGTTTCATTTACGTGTATTTATAATATGGATATATGTGTATGTACACATAGTTCTGCACAGTTGTAGTTGTTTCATTCATGCTTATTTCATGTGGTTTTTTCTGAGCCCTTCATTCTTTGCTACTAGGCTGAGCATACACACAGTCTTCATTTCAATCTCTTCATAATCACTATAATTTTTCACCAAAATCATTTTCCCAGGTCTGTGTAGTTATTTCTGGATCTTAATCGTCACTGCTATGACAATTGCAATGTGTACAATTTATGCAAACCAGTTCAGAAGTAATGGCACTAATATCTCGCCCACTTCGTCCTTGCGACTGTGACGACGACGGCGATAACCACGCCTGCTGTGAACTACCGGACATCTTTTCTGAACAGAATCGTTTCGTAAGTTCAAATTAAGTTTTATAACCGTTCTGTCATTTTGGTGTACACGGTGTGGCTACTGAGATACACATTAAAAATACTTAGCCTATATTAGAGGAGTGAGCAATATTGTGTCGATGCATCAATTAATGCAAAGAGAGGAGGCACCGAATATTCGTTCTTATTGTGTTTGCACAACAGCAGAATAGGCTATAAAGCGAAAATAGAGACCCTCGCTCGACACTCGCTAATTTCATATTCAGGACTCTACAATACAGAAGTTTCACCTCAAAGAAGTGGTGTTTTTTGTTCTTCGGGAGCCTTCTCACTCGGTCTAATTCAAGCGGTTTAAGAAGTTTAGAGGTCTTGAGTGGAATGGTTGCCCCTTTTGCCAGTATGCAGCGACATTTTACGTAATACGAAACCGGTAGTGAGTCACTGTTAGTCGACCAGTTTTTCTTCCTCCTTCAGAGCTTAATTTTTCAGCCAGCATCAGTGTTCGGTCACCGAGTCGCCATGACTTCCATTGATTTCGATATCGAGCACTTACTGAAAAACTTTAACAACTTGGAAATGTAAGTCACCAACAAGACATGCACAGTTGATTTACACAACATAGTGATTCCTCTGATAGTAGTGTAATGTCGCAAGACATATGACATCGCACTACTATGAGAGGGTTCACTATGCTGTGCAAATCAACTCAGATTAAGACTGACACATCAACAAACTTTCAGCACAAAGCTTTCTTTTATTGCACATGCTAAGGTTGGCAAGGTTTCGTGTGTCGTAAGTGTGCAGTAACATTATTCGTGAATACGTAACGCATCTACTACCAGGTGTGTGCATTAATATCCGCCGCCGAATTCAAAGGGTCGTTGTGCGAACCTTGCCAGAGGTTTACCGGTGAAATCTGTCATATTTTGTAAAATAGGTCGTTGGCTACTTACTTAAGGACGGACAGATCAGTTTTTCCCCAAAATTGCGTTGCTCTCAGACTGATTGGTCATGGAACGCGATTAGCCGTTTTCCTGGGGGGCCCTTCTCCTGTTGTTCGATTTCAAGAAAACTGGCATTGAAGCTCACCAGATGCTTTCCGATACTTATGGAGGATAAGCTCCATCTGAACAAATCTGCTCAGATGGTTTTCTTCACTCGAGAGTTTGCAACGAGAGCGGAATGTCTATTGCCAAAAAATAATGCTGTATGTGCATTTGGTAGGAGATCAAAAGGGTTTGTGTAACATGAGCTGCTGAGCCCGAACGAAACTGTTACTGCTGGCCGCTACGTACACCAACTTGACAGCTTTTAGGATGCTCTCACCTAAAGGCGGCCGTTATTCGCAAGAAAATATCATGAGGTGCTGTTCCACCACGAACATGCCAGACCCCATGTCCTTAAAAGGATGTCCTTAAAAAATGTCCTCAAAAATTGCATTTGTTGGATGGGATCAGCTTATTCAGCCAACATACTCTTCGGATCTTGCTCTTTCTGATCACTACCTATTCCGGTCCATGCAAGTCAAATTGACAGATACACGCTTCCTGAATGCCGAAGAAGTGCGAAANTACTTTCGGTTTTAATTTTATAATAAATTTGTTTTTGCATCGGAAAAAAAACATCGGAAATTAATGCACACCTAATATATTAATGTAGTATGCTCGAATATTGTCATAGTGGTTAGTGATACACTGTTTATATGCTGAGCGTGATTGTGCCATACTTGATGGTTGTATGGGTCATGTCTTTCTGCGCTGGAGAACTAAGTACGCTTCAACAGATAATCTTAATCGCTGCTTTTTTATCGATTACCTAGTCTTTTAGAGTTCTCTAAAGTTTAAACCTTCGGTTTAGTTCAGAAAGATCTGTGTCTTAAAGAAGTTAATATAAATGCAGGGTGACCTACATGAAGTATGACGGGCACTAAAAAAATCAACTTGTGGGCTTCTGGGCTGGAGGATGCGGTGATCCCTTGGGCAGAAAGGGCCGCGATGAACTTCAGCTGAACTTTTCGCAAGATTGGGCACCAGCCTATAGTGCAAAGAGGACGCTGCAATGTTTTGAAACCAAACTTCCAGATTTTTGGGCAAAGCAGGTTTGACCTTCAAATTCCCCGGTCTCAATCCATTGGATTTTGCTGTATGGACGATTTTGGAGCAAAAAACCTGCAGACAGACACAGGTCTTTAGACCCTCTGGAAAAAAGCTCTCTTGTAGAAGCGTGGGATAAGTGATTGCGCGCATTCTTGAAAATTTCCGAAAGAGGTTGGATGCTTGCATTAAAGCGAAAGATGGTCATTCTGCATGTGAGATGTGATTTGTTGTTTACAATTTTGTGATGATTGCGTAGAAGTAAATGTTTCCTATTTGGTTTGATTTGGGTGATTCTGATGCTAGTTTTTTGCGTCACACTTCATGTGGGTCACCCTGTATAGATTGGCCTTGTGCACACAACAAACCAACATTGTTAGGTACCGTTTGACTGACTTCGACCGGTGCCAACGCAATGATGTTCCTGCCATATTTTATTTACACCTTGAAACCAAGAAAGGTAGGAGAACCTAGTGAAATAAAAATTCTCCTTACAGAATACCACAAATATAGAATTAGTAGCACTTAGATTGCTATGGCTCCGGCGAAGCTTGCCTTCTCTAGGCGACACGTATTGATTGACTATCTGCCAAAAATTACACAACAGCTCAGATTTTTTCCAGAATTTCTTGTAAGCTACCCTAGAAACTTCAGCTCACTACTCACTCGTATGAGTGTATCACGATCAGTTGACCAGAACGAGGTTCGTTTTCGACTTTCTCACTTCAGTTCGGGAAGCTGATTGAGGCGTACACAAAACCGTTTAAAGGGGCTTTGGTTCAGAACACTTGACAAAAGCTTTGATAAGTTCCAGTGGTAGCGTGTAAACGCAAATGAGTACGTGACGAATACGGTTATAAATTGTGCCATCAGTGGTTATGTGGCGAAGTAGGCATGGAAGTTTCCAGAAAATCCCGAGTGATAAAACTATTCGCTATTGCGGAATTCTCGCTCAATACAACCACAATGCCGCCCTCCTTTTGGATGTCACCATTGGGCCAAAGTTCCAATACCTCCTCTAACCCTTTTCTCATTGGCCAATAGAGCAAAGTTCTCAGTTCCCTCTCAAGTGTGAAGCATCAATCTGATCTGTATCGACTGATCGATATGAGTCGTTACCATTGAAGCCAGGTTTATATATCACCTCTTTTCTTTAAAGGTCTGAGCGCTGTTGATCCAAAGAAGAGTGCGCCGAGAAGAAGAGCAATAATATTTGAAATGCGCTCCTTGAAAGTGGAATGTACACGTAACCACCTTAGGTGTGCGTGGTGTCTGGTTCTTGGCGACTCCGGATTTTTGGATATTGTAGATGTGTCGCACTACCTCTGCCTTGCGTTTCCACGCTGATTGCTGAGTGATGAAGGAAAAAAGCAGCCAAAGGGAGAAACAGGAAAGAGATTTCCCTCTTAGCTTTGCCCACTTTGATGCATACTGTGCAGGTTCCCGGCTGTCATACCTATTTATGTGCCGCTTTGGTTTTCGTGTGATATTGGTAGTACAGCTACCACATAGGCTCATCTTACACGGTTTATATTGGGATAGGAGGTGTACCAGATTTGGCATCCGTAACAGTGTGGAGCTCCGTGTAGGCTCACGCACGAATTTTTATTACGTGCCGATACAAGTAGAACAAACACTCTTGACCCAAATATTCCTATCAAGAGACCTTGAGAATAGTCCCAAGCAGTACCAATACGACGGCTCTGCGAACTTAGTTATCAATCGACTACCGAGAATACAGTAGCGCTTAAAAGTATTCGGCCAAACCCTTCAAATGTAACCTTTTTCTTAGTGGAGCGAATCGCGCGAGATTCTGATATATTCAACTGGAGTATATTTCACACTATCCAAAACTACTTGAATGCAAGGCAGCAATATCTATATAACTAACTGTAAGTGGAAGGTGTTTGTCACGGTAGGTTTCGCTGAAAGCAAAGTTAGCGACATCTGTAATTATTTGCACCTTAAGTGCGTATTTCTCATCTATTGTGTTCGGCCTTAGCGTCTTACACTTTAAACATGGCAAGAAGGGAAGAAACCCTAGAAGTACCATTGTCTGTGTTTTTAGCTGATTTGAGTTGAAGCTTTTCGGGATATCTAGAACATGATCAGATTGCAGGTTAATAGTGGTAAATATTCACACCATCCCCATTTTGCACATATTGAAATGCTGCGTGATTAGATCCAGTGGAAAAGGAGTTACCACTGAAAAGTACGATTGAAGAAGCATTTGGCTGAATACTTTTGAGCGCTACTGTACATCGTCCAACTACAGTAGCGGTCAAATCAATCTTTGGAGAAACGCTTTGTAACCCATATCTTTTCCTACGCAATGAAATCACATGAAATCTTAGTAAGTTTCTCGAGGAGGTAAATCCCGCTAGTGAACTGATAAATGCTACTGTTCATGGAACGCTAGCGAAAAACACAGAAATATCACTATTTTTAGAAAAGTCACGGCTTCTAATGTCAGCAGTGCAACGGGATGGCAGAGAATCAGCCAGCTTTCAGATAGTAGACACTGGCATAGCGTTCCACTCCTTCGCTAACTGAGCGGATTTTTCCTCACGGTTTCTACAAAATTTGTTCAAACAAGGCGTCTTAAGCTCCCCACACATTACTCAGATACAGATGCTCCCACATTCAGATCCGGTCTTCGGGTTACTGGCTTGACCAGTCTAGAAGTCTGATTTGCTGTCTGCTATAGGCTGCCTTCCTAACCGCTGGGGTAAATTCTAATCGTCACCCTGCTGTAGAATCCGTACTGTTGGCATATGCTGTTGTGCTCATGGCAAGAGAATGCCGACCATCATGTTTTGGTTGTACACCCTGCTATCACGCCGTCAATTTTCAAATTAAGCTCCATCCCGTATGACGAGAAGGCAGTGTATGCCATCTTCCTCCACCACGCTTGGTTGTGATTAAGATGTATCGCAGCTCTCCGAGTCGACCACCGCTTCTAGACAAACTGAACTTCCCTCGTCTTTAAACTCTTCTTCACTCAGTCGAAGTCCAGTTGAGGTGGCGCTACTCAAACTCCGATTCTAGCTCTCCTATTCTTTTGTCTGATGAGCCACCATTTTGACTAAACGCCTCCATAAATACCAGCATTGTTCAGCGTCTTCCTACAGTCGACTAAAAATGACTGATGGCTCGCTTTCGATCGACGTATGATCCGCCTGTTCAGAATTGCGTCGGGGTCTCCGTGCTCTCATAGCATTGCAATCAGATTTTCTGGCCGAGGAGCGTTGGATAATCGGAGAAATTATTCGTTTAGAAATCTTCGAAATTCTCGAAATGGCAAGACTTTCGCGCCCGATTCCTTCATGTCTACCGCCGGCTGTCGAACTTTCTGAGTGACTACTGTCCTTCTATGCATGTTAATTGCTCAAGCATTAGCATCGAGCACAAATAAGATGCAGAAAATACGAATTTCGCGAACCTTTCAGCTAGGGAAAACCGCTACACTGGTAAAACCTTAGCACGTAGTCACGTGTTGGCCCAGTTCGGAAGCAAAGGTATAAACTGGTTCGATCCAAGGTGGTTTGACATAAAAGAATTTAACTTGGATCCCTCCACTAGGAAAAGTTACGATTGCAGATGTGGGGCAAGACACACGCCTTACCTACCATGAACACTTGATCTCTACGCCTTTACTAGGCCCTTATACTTTTTCTGGATTTCGCAACGCTTTTGGGAGGGGTCGCGAAATTTCACTCTAGCTCCGCCCGGGTCAGTACGCAGCTCCTACAAACAGTTCTTAAACTCCCTGTCAAAAATGAATTGTTGACCTCACCAACCTTCATAGACTGTTCGGATTTCACCAGACATGAGAACGATTTCAAACAAATTGCAGTTTTCGATTTACCTCATGCGCATGCACAATTTCGATACGCGTGTGATCCCAAGAATGTGCCTAACATGCAGGTGAGAACGTCAGATATGGTAAACGTCCTTTTGACATGCAGCACATTACAGCCAAGTGACCCTTTTCGTGCTCACACTGCATGCTCAACACTCTCCTTATCTCTTTGCTCTCATTCTACAACCTTCGGCACTGTGTGCGCTATTCGGCATAAGTTGTAATAATGACAGGTATAATCTCGTTCAGATACTGTGACGCCCCTGAAAGAAGCCTTTACGAATCGACAAGGAGGTGTACTGTCGACGTTTCGCTTGCGGAGGCTCTTCATTTTCCACAGAAAATCTCGACCAGATTACCTGTAAGCACTTCTTTGTGACATCCTCGGTATTTCAATCAACTTTCTCACATTCGTAACACTCCGATTTGTAAGCCCGCAGAAACTGTATTACTAATATCCGTGTGTATCCTTACAAAATGACCTTATAACTTAGCATATGCTCACTTTGAGATTTCAGACAGAGATCAGTACCTGCCAACAGATAGCTCTGAAGGACGTGAAAGCAATTTGGTGTAGAAATGCGGCGCACTATTTTGAATGGGTTGCAGGCGTGCCAGAGTTTCGTTTAATGGATATGCAAGGGAGGGTGAGTTGTGAGAGTCGTATATAAGAAGAAATGCAACTTTCTGGCGAAGTATATGAGCAGTATTTTTCACAGAGATCTCAGCAATAACTATCATCGTCACTAATTCACTTGGAAGATAGAGGAGCTAAGGAAATTTTTTAGCTGAAACTTGTTTCACGTCAGTTATGCAGAATCATTTGCCTAATGATTTCGTATTGGACTTATCGACAAGGACATGACGGTATGGTGCTTGGATGCGGTATATGTTTCCTTCCAACAGAAGTACAAGACGAGAGGTGACTTTCGATATCACCAATTACCTGAAGGTGAAAATACGATGTCTTTACAGTTTGAAGAGCTTCTTGAATTCTCTCGTGAATGTCATTCAAAGCAATATCGTATCGACTTTTCGGAAAATCGCGATAACTAAGGAAGAATATCTTCTCATGAAACTCATCGTCTTTTTCGACCGTTAGTGTTTGATCGCTCCTACGCATAACCTAAACATAGATCCTCATTTCAGTTAGAGTAATTGCAAATTGGTCATTCGGTAACTGTACCTTTGATGCACATGAGCATTTCGAACTCAGAGATTCTTCAAATTTAGCTCCATATGTAAAATTATCGCCGACAGACCGTCTTGTGGTTGAGGCCGCTTTGAAGAAATATCAAGCAGCATTGGTGGGTCACATCAAATTCAGCCATCCATCGCTGGACCATAATTCCCTAACTGAGCGTATATCAGCGCTATTGGGAACGATGCCGTACTTAGAGGTAAGTAACATGCTTATCCTTCACTTCCAACATTGGATGCAGAGCAAACGGGAACAAAATCGACTTGTTGTAGCTTTTCTGGGCCTTAAAAACGAACCTAGTGTCTTCTTAGATATGACTAAACTATGAGTATGGAGCTTACGTAACTTTCTCAACTATCATCGAAGGATCAAAGCGAATAGTTGGTGAAAGAGACTGCACAGAGGTTCACTGAAACTCTTCAGCTGGCTGCGCAGGTCAATAACTTCTTCATGACGGTGATGACGATTCATAATAATGGTAACATGCGAGGGCAACTAACGAACGAAATTCATGTTGATTCGATGAAGATATTTTGAGTGGATATCATATATCGAGAAAAACAGATATCTGCAAGGAACCATATTTCAAAATACGAGAGTTTATTCAACGGAAGAACGACAAACTAATCTCACCTCAATGAAGGAACGACGTAATTTACTTGTGAACCAAAGTATTTGAAAGTTAGCCCTTTTACTGAGTAATGTTCGATGTTGATTTTTTGCTCAGATGTGGCTGAAAACTAGAACTTTGGCTACATTGTTCTCATGTTCCTAAATAAGAGAAGAGTGCTTCATTGTTGGTGCTTAATAGCATGATTTTAAACGTGTTTTATTCACGGTTTTCATCGGCAGTGGAATGAATATTCGACTATAACTTCAACCCTTTAGAAAGCATTTGCATTCGTTTCAAGATAATTTGTAGTCCCTTCGAAAGCGCTGTTTCAAATAACAAAAAATGAAAGTCAGGTCACAACAGCATAAAGAGTTCCGAATGTTCACTTGAACATATGCTCGAGGCAATTTTGCATTGATATAGGGAACAGGATCCCGTCATGTGTTTCTTCTGGTGCTTCCCCAGTCTCTATCGTCACAGACACTTCGTTCCATTTTGACTCACTCCAATTAATAAACAACAACCGTAATAGACAAGAACTACTATCATTCGATTCTGTGAAGGGAAAGAACCTTAAAATGGATGAAATTATTGTTTCAATCCTCCTTTAAATGGTGCGGACAAAACTATGTTAATAAATTCTTGTCGCAGCTCATCGAACGTGATACGCGTTCGCATACTTGTATGTTCAAAGGAGTGTTCGCTCGGCCACGGTTGAAATATTAGTCTTTCGTGGTGCGCATTTTCTCACAGAAGTCTCGAATGAAGAGTGCTCCCGGCTGCTCTTTTTTTCCACAACGTTGAAGAGCACCCTCATCGAGCAATTGAATCACACTAAAAAAAGCGTTCATGTCATGAGTCACCCTACCTTTCTATGTACGTAGGCAAGAATTCCACCAATTCACGTCTTTCTCTGCTCGAAGCTGTTTCGATCAATCTGAATTCCATATTTACTGGGTGCAGGTATTATTTTCTCCTTTCATTTTTTTCATGTTTACCTGTACTTCCTGATGTCAGCATTATTTAGTGCTACTGCGAAGGGCAGGAAAATGGTAAAATAGTAAACACCCCCACTCGAAAACCATGTCTATTGACAACAATATACTCTTGCTGTATCACGCACCACTTCTCTATATTATTGATCTTAGAACACGACGCCAAGACCCGAAACGAGAAGAACGTGTTGTGAATTTCGCGATTAGCTGATACACTGAACATCTGGTGCCAGTTACGAAAGATGATAGAAGATAATGTAATTGGTGCTAACAAGTCAGGTTTTGGTATGTGCTCCCTTCGATTTCCATTCAGAATGGTAGTGACTGTATGCGTATGTGGCCCATACTATGACTTGCGACGCAAGAGCTTATATAAGTCAGTGCTTTTGTCGTCCTAGACGAATCTTGTTCCAAATGAGTGGAATCAGAAATATACAAACATCGATTTCGAATTCAATAGCAGAACCAGGCGTATGAAATGAGGGCTGATAAGCACTATATCACCAACGCCGTTGAAACCATTTTCGTTCTTAGGCGATTGTAGGGGACGTGGAGCTGGTTCTAATGTAGTTAGCAAATGAGTTTAGTGGAGGAGTCACCCAAAAGTTCTCGTGAAACTGACCAGTGCGTGTCAACGCTTCTCGCCATGGATCTACGCAGCGGTGCTTCGAGAAGCGCTAATCGGCAGAAGCAAAGCGAGCCAGAAGCGGTGAATGTGGTGCTCCCCAAGGAGTTGCAAGAGCAAGTGGAGGCCATAACGAAGTCTAGCCGGATTGTTGATGGTATAAAGAAGGTGATTACTGACTCACGCGTGATCTCCAGTCACTTCGCTTGGAGAATATCGAGCTGAGGCAAGAATTAGGTTGTGTTCGCAAGTTAGTGCCTCGTGAGTCGCCTCCTGCCACTAGCATTGATACTACGTCAGAGGATCGGGATCGAGCGGCTTCCGTTAGTGTTCCTGCTTCTACTGAAGTAGGGCCACCCTACCAGGGAGCGAAGAGACTCCGGTCCATTGTGATTAGTGGCGTACTTGAAGAGAAAAGTCAAAATACACGGGGACGCCTTTTATACGATTATGATAGTGTATGTAATATTTTAGACTTTCTTGGCATTTAATGTAACCCCATGTGTGTATACCGTCTAGGCAGGACTCTGATAGGCAAGGACAGGTTGTTAAGGTTGGGTTATCGCGACTGGCGGTGAAACGAGCCTCAGGGCTCGCTACTTTAGGGGAGGGAATCTATTTGAGAGAGTCCCCAACTCCAGAGCAAAGGAGGCGTAGGGGTGACTAGGCATGGAGAAGGTACACCACCTGCCAATGGTGGTCTTATCGGCTCTTCCGATCCCAGTTATGCGGGTAGGAGCTCCAGTAGCACCGAGGGAAACTGAGAAGTTTCCCTCGGTATGCTGGACCGCTCAGATTTTCATTGCTAATGATGTCAGCCTCTAGAAACAAAGAGTTTCTAAAGATTTCGCAGGCGAAAAACTACGACATTTTTGCATTTTCGGAGACATGGTTGGAACTAAATCACACTTTAGCCGGACTACTTAGTACGGTTGCGGACCCCTACGTCGTAGTTAACGCCGCAGTTAGTTTGTAACCGTCCCAATAACGTGGTTGTTGTGTCATTCTTCTAGCTCAATGTGGGCTTCCGCTATTTCCAGTTTTTGCCTAATCAGTAAAGGAGTCGTTCGACATACTTTGCACACACGTTTTCTGTGACGATTCCAGTTTTAGAGTGACTGTGGTTTATACGGCACATAGGAAACATAGTGTCGTACACGGTGATTCCAATTTGCCGGAACTTTATAACCAGTCAGAAGACTGCCTGGCTTAGTTTTCTCTGATACGCCGCATTTGGTAAAGAAATTCCGAAAATTCAAAGTTAATTTAAAGTAAGTTGTCCCACTTTTAGCTTTGAGTGACCACATTAGCTTTGTTTTTAAAATCATTCGACAGGTGTCCCTGTGAAGAACGAGCTTTTCTTATCTGTTTTGCACAGCGCAATTGACTACTATATTCCCTGGAAGAAGGTTACTCGCGTGAAATCAATCCACCTAACCAGGCATCTGTAGAATATGTGGGAGCATAGAGAATGCGTATTCGTGAGACCAGACAATCCGGAAATTCGGACGAATACAAAACCTTCACAATGCGTTTCCACAGCCATCTAAAAAGACACAACGACTATTTAGAGGTAATGAAAAAATCTTCCACAGGTATCCGAGCAGAAGGATCAAGGACTTCAAGCATATCGGTTGTCTGAAAAGAGAGGAAATTATTGCATTCTCCCTAGCAGATAAAGCCAACATGTTGACTGATCACTTTGGGAGCGTCTTCCAGGAAGATGATAGAAATGTTCCTGATTGGTTTTCGCCGTCTGTCGAACCTATGAAGGAAGTTCCGCCTCTGAGCAATATGAGCTGCTCATGAAATGGCCTGGTTCTTTCTCAGTCACCCCTGATTTTATGTTATTGATGGTTATGCAGAGAATAGCCGCTGTTATCGGTGGTGCTCCTGCTTACATCTATAGTCGTTATGCTTCGGTGAGGTACCCTTGCTCTGGAAACATTCCTTTGTTACTCCGCTACTGAAGAAAAGGCCATCATGGAGCCCTGAGAATTATCGCCTCGAAAGCATTACGTCTCTTTTCTGTCGGCTATTTGAGAAAGTCTTGAAAAACATCACTTGCCTATTGAACATATTGTTTAGAGGCACCAGCATCGTTTCAATCCTGGTCTTTCTGTTGAAACAAATACGATTGAGTGCCTGGACGATTGGACAGGAGCTCTTGCTGAGAGGCCTTCCTGTGACGTCATTCATAATACTTTGACTTTGCCGAAGATTTCGATAGGGTTTCGCACAAGAAACTGATCGTAAAGCTGGAGGCTTTGAACTACCACCCGACCATTAGTTTAATCTCAGAGTATCTTAGTAATAGAACGGTTCAAGCTAAGGTTGGTCAGTTCTCTCGGAAGTCCGGCGGGTAATAAGTGGTGTGCCCCAAGGAGGTAAGCAAACCAGACAGTTTGGTCCTTCTGCTGTATGCATTTGCATTCTCTCTGTTTGTTTTGATTTTACTCCCACAACTATAAGAATGATGTTGCGGTCAAGAAGAAGCATTAAATATGCGTTAAAGTAAAATTAAAAACAAAGAGAGAGAATGCAAATGCATCCAGCAGAAGGGCCAAACTGTCTGGTTTGCTTACCTCATCGAACCGTAATCGGTAAAACAGATTCAAACGCACCGATTCAAGATCCCACAACTATTAGGTTGTCGGAAAAGTGTCTGCGCATTTTGGTTTCCATGTTGTGAAATCTTTGGGGATAGCTCTAGAACCTTCACTGCGGAATATGTGCAGGTGCAGGTCAATGCACTCTCCACTCCATATCTGCCGTAGAATTTCGCAACGGTTATGGCTGCAAGAATCGCTCTCGACCCAAAGCGAGTCAGACTGCCCTTACTTTATAAGTTCAGAAAAAAACGTTAATTCAAATTGAGTGACAGGGGAAATATTCGATCCGATAGGACCATCTATTGCCTCTTACAGCACAACAAGAAGTTGGTACAACAAGTTCAAAAATGGCCACTTTGACTAGACCTGCCTGGGAGACCAATTGACCTGGATGACGACCACCTCCTGAAAATGGTTGAAGAGGATTCCAAGTGTAGTACCCGTCAGCTGAAACAGGAGCTCAGAGCCATCACGACACAGCAGCTATCCATTTGCATCGCTTCGGAAAGACATGGAGATTCGGATATATGGATAAGTTGTGGTCAGGGTGGCCACCACCACCAAATAAAGAGGGATTCATGCCTGAGTTTGATGACTTTCCGACGCACATTCTAAGGCTGGAAGACTTAATCACTGGTAACGAGAAGTGTGTTCTCTACTTAAACCACACGAGGAAACGCTAGTGGCTTGGA